CATAAAATTTAGGGAAATTAATATGAACCCATTGGACTATTCAGTATTTTATAATGCTTGGTTCTGACTAATAATAGTTTAAAGATCCATTGCTATTAAGCTAGTATATACATGTACATGTACATGTAGGTGCTACACGACTAACTGGCTATCTGTTCCCCATACTGGTTCCCCTCCATTATCCCAATGTGAGGGTTGAGGGTAGTGAATGCATAGTCAGCAACTTTGGGTTTAGCTCGAGACAGCACACAAAGGAGTGTTGATTTACCAGCATTAGGGAACCCTACCTGATGAGTAATAAATAAATAATGTATTTAGTAAATTTAGTAAAGGATTAAATTAAATTGACACATTATCAGTAAAAGCCACCCCATACACTACATGTACATTAAAAGTACATGTACATGTAGCATATAGTGGGAAATTTTGGAAGGAGTTAAATTTGGCAACTTGCTAAATTTTGGTGATTGGAAAATTTTGATCTGGTGAATTCATGGCCACATGACATTGAGCATGTGTATAATGGCTTAAAATGGCGGGTTTTTATTTTAATGAATGGCTATCAAAATGCCAAATTCACCAAACTTAATTTCCTCCAAAATTTCCCACTATATGGTATACATGTACATGTATTAATAATAGTGATAGATTATTATACCAGTCCAATATCAGCTATTGTCTTTAATTCCAGTTCAATGATCAGTTCATCTCCATCAGTACCCTCAGTGTACTGGTGTGGGACTGTATTAGTAGGCGTGGCATAAGAGGTGTTACCAGCCCCACCCACTCCTCCTCTAGCAGCAGTATAGGTATCACCATCAGACATTAGATCATAAAGGACTTCACCATTGGAACTAATAACAGTACCCACTGGAACCTAATGATTACAAGAAAATTAGTATACCGTAGATCGGGAAATTTTCGTTGTTAAAATATTTTTGCGGATGAAGTGACCTGCGAAAATTTGACACACGAAATATTTTCTACAGTGAATAATAAGATTACCGGAATTATTCTAACGTGCAGCGGTGCACCCACGAGGCTCTTCTAGTCTTCTAAAAGCCCAAAGAAGGCCTGAAGCTCTCACCCAAGAGGCTCCTTGTCAGTTTTAGTACTGTCACGAGCAACTTCCATTGAATAGCTGTCCATCGTCATCAAGAGTTAGTAGCCACTTGTGCGGTTTATGACGCGTCCAAAAATTTTCATGTTGAAAAAATTTCGCAGATGGGTCAACCAGCAAAAATAAAATACCTTAAAAAAATTTCACGCCAATTATTTCTAACATGAAAATTTCCCGATCTACGGTAACTACATGCATATGTATCAGGAAATGTAATTAAAATTTAGGATAATTTCAGAGCCATTCTTTGGAAAAAACCATGGGCTATAGCCTTGGATATTTTTCAGATTTTGGCATTTTCTTAAAATGGCCGTAACTTGAAAAATTGAAGTCAGAATCACCTCAAACTTTCTACACAGCATAAGGGCATCAATATGTATCAGGAAATGTAATAAAAATTTGGGTTGATTTCGGAGCCATTTTTTGGAAGAAACCATGGGCTGCAGCCTTGGGTATTTTTTAGATTTTTAGCATTTTCTTAAAATGGCTGTAACTTGAAAAATTGAAGTTGGAATCACCTCAAACTTGCTACACAGCATAAGTGCATCAATATGTATCAGAAAATGTAATAAAAATTTGGGTTGATTTCGGAGCCATTTTTTGGAAAAAACCATGGGCTATAGCCTTGGGTATTTTTCAGATTTTTGGCCTATTTCTTAAAATGGCCGTAACTTGAAAAATTGAAGTTGGAATCACCTCAAACTTGCTACAAAGCATAAGTGCATCAATATGTATCAGAAAATGTAATAAAAATTTGGGTTGATTTCGGAGCCATTTTTTGGAAAAAACCATGGGCTATAGCCTTGGGTATTTTTCAGATTTTTGGCCTATTTCTTAAAATGGCCGTAACTTGAAAAATTGAAGTTGGAATCACCTCAAACTTGCTACAAAGCATAAGTGCATCAATATGTATCAGGAAATGTAATAAAAATTTGGGTTGATTTCGGAGCCATTTTTTGGAAAAAACCATGGGCATAGCTTTGAGTATTTTTCGGATTTTTAGCATTTTCTTAAAATGACCGTAACTTGAAAAATTGAAGTCGGAATCACCTCAAACTTGCTACAAAGCATAAGTGCATCAATATGTATCAGGAAATGTAATAAAAATTTGGGTTGATTTCGGAGCCATTTTTTGGAAAAAACCATGGGCATAGCTTTGAGTATTTTTTGGATTTTTAGCATTTTCTTAAAATGACCGTAACTTGAAAAATCAAAGCTGGAATCAGCTCAAACTTTCTACACAGCATAAGGACATCAATATGTACATAATCTATAGCCTATTGCTCATTAATAGCTAATTAATATTAAAATTACTTTTATTATTTTATCTGCTCCATTCTTCCCATGGCAGTCCCAGTTCTTCCCATCCCCTCCTCTCTCTCCTTTATAATGATGTCTAACGTCCCTCAGTGTCTTCACTCTACTACTAGCCATGAACCCTACACTACCACCATCCCCTCCGTTCCCTCCACGGGACCTCCAAATTCTACATGAGCCTCTCTATTA